TGCCCGTCGCGTCGCGTCCTCCCCCCGCTGCCCTAAACGCCCGCTCGTCGTCACCGCGGCGCCCCGTATTTCGTCGCCACGGCGCCCCGCGTTTCGTCGCCGCGTCGCCCCGCATTTCGTCGTCGCGGCGCCCCGCATTTCGTCGCCGCGCCTGCCCGTACCGCCCGCCGCCGTGCCTGCTCGTTAGGCCCGGTCGTGGGCCCGCTCGTCCCGTCGCCACGCCTGCTAGTTAGGCCCGCCGCGGGCCCTCCCTTACAGCCGCCGTGGGCCCTCCTTTACAGCCGCCGCGCCTGCTAGTTAGGCCCGCCGCGGGCCCTCCCTTACAGCCGCCGCGGGCCCTGCCTTGCAGCCGCCGCGCCTGCTAGTTAAGGCCCGCCGCGGACCCTTCCTTACAGCCGCCGTAGGCCCTCCTTCGCACCGCTGCGCCTACTCGTTCAGTCTGCCGCGGGACCGCCCCTAGCCCCGTTGCGCCCACGTTTTGCGCCCGTCACGGACTTGCCCTAGCCGCCTACCGTCCCTACCAGTGCCACCCACCGCCCGTGTTGCCTCTACTTACACTATGGCGAGCCCTAGGGTTCTTCGCTTCGACGCTGACGGTAGACCGCTCGAGTTTCCGGTCTGGCTCCTACGTGCGCGTCGCCTCTTAGAGAGTCAGGTTCAGGCGGGTGAGTCCCTTTGGGCGCACGCTACTGGTGACCTTCCTGCGCCCGACGACCCTACGCCTTTAGGCCCTGCCCCTGACGACGCCGCCAGAGACCGCTTTACCCGCCAGCGTGCTGACCTGACGCCGTGGAAGTCGCGTGACGCTGCGGCCTGCATCGCTCTTAGCAGCCTCCTCCCTGAGTCTGAGGAGGCCCACTTCACTCAGGTTCGCACTGCTAGTGAGTTCCTGACTGCGATCAAGGCCCGCTACGCTACTCCCACCACTGTCTCTCTTGGCCGCCTCTTCCTACCGTTCTTGTTCCCTGACCTCGCCTCGTTCGAGCGCTCTGCTGACTTGATTGCTCACCTCCGCTCGCTCGATTCTAGCTACTGCGCTGCTTGCACTGACGCACAGCTTGCACCGCTTCCCCCTCCCATGGCGATTACTATCTACTTCATTGCCACTAGCCTCCCTGACCCCCTTGCCTCGGTTCGTGACACGCTTCTTCTGAAGCACCCTAGTGAGCTCACTATCGAGGTCCTTGAGTCTGCGCTCAAGGACGTCAAGAGCAACCTCGGCTCCGTAGCCTCCGCCTCTGGTGCTGTGCCCCCTCCACTGTTTCACGGGTGCACTGTCCCTCAGCTGCCCACTTTCACTGCCTCACTAGCCACTGCCACTACTAACGTGACCGCAGCTGCTGTTACGACTTCGTCGCGGTCTCGGGGAAGGGGTGGCAGGAGGGGCGGTCAGGGTGCAGGCGGTGGCGGCGTTGGCGGCGGAGGTGGTGGGGGTGGCGTGCCGACCGGTGGCGGCGGGAGCGCAGGGCCTGGAGAGGCGTCTCGTGCAGCGGCCAGTGACTCCCCTACTGCAGCTGGTGGAGGCGACACCCGGCCTCGTCAGCCTCCTTCTGGTCTGCCGGCCGCGGTGGGTGGAGCAGCGGCGTGGTACCTCGCCCAGCGGCAGCAGCAGGTGCAGCAGCAGCAACCCCTCCCCTTGCAGCAGCCCCCGCAGCAGCAGCGGCAGCAGCAGGTTTCGGGGCCCGTACAGCGTCAGCCCCAGCGAGGTGTTGTTCACCCTTCGTGCACCTATCAGGTTCTGACAGGTGCTCGCCGAGGCCAGCCTTGTGGCCGCACCCACCCTCCTGGTCAGTGCTTTGCTCAGCTCACTGACACGGTTCGCTTGGCCTTCGGCGTTGGCGGCCCTGCCCCTGACTGGTTTCCTCTTGTTCAGACGTACGGCTCCGCTCTTTGGGGCATGTCTGCTTCTCAGTTGCTTGATATCTTAGGAACTCCCCATAACACACAATTTCCTTCCCTATAGGCACCCCAACTTTGACCTTTGTCACTTTCCCAACCCATGCCATCCAGGAGGTGCTGAGCCTGGGGGTGCTACGCCTGGTGGTGCTGTGCCTGGCGGTTCTCCGGGTGCTCCTTCTCGCCGGGAGCCACTCTCTCCCCAGGAGCTGCGTGAGTGGTTTGCCCGGCGCTGGAGGCGAGCTGCTGGAGCTGGAGGTGCTGCGGGTACTGGAGGTTCTGTTGCTGCTGTGGGAGCTGGTGCCACGGGTCCCGGAGGTGCTCGTACTGGGAGTACTGGAGCTGCTGGACCTGCGGGTACTTCTGGAGCTGGAGTTGCTGCGGGTGTTGGCGCGGAGGCTACTGCTGTCGGTCCTGGAGGCGGTCCTGCTGGGGGTACTACTGGTGCTACTGGGGGTTCTGGAGCTGGAGCTGCTACGGGTGCTGGTGCTGTCCCTCCTGTGTCTGGAGTCGCCGCGCGGCCTCGGCCGTACTTCGTTCCGCTCCTTCAGCAGGTTCTTGGTCTCCCGCCTTCCACTGGTCCTCCTCCTCCCTTAGAGTGTCCACAGCCTGTCCCGTCGCAGTTACAGTTACAGCCGGCCTCCCCACTGCCTGCTCCGTCTCCCTACACTGGTCCTACTGGAGGTCTTGCTGAGCGTCGTGAGCCTGCGTCTCGCCCTGCGTCGCCTGTCCGTGCTGCTCGCACTAGTGGTCGCGGTTCGCGTCAGCGTCCTCCTCCTGTCCCTGGCACGCACCGGATGTCTCTGCGTCCGTCCACTGCTCCTCTGCGTGCCCCTTTGCCTTCTCCTCCTGAGTCTTCTCTTCCTGCTCTTGCCGACCCGGAGTCGGACTCTCTTCGTGCTGCCAGTCCTACTGTCACGCGTCTCCTTGCTACTGTTGTCACTGACCCTTCCTTTGAGTCCACTGCTGCGTCTGCCCTAGTTGCTGAGCTCGTCGACTTTGCTGCTCGCTGTCGCCTAGACTACGTCGCCAGTCTTGTTGCTGAGTCTGAGTCTGTCTGTCCTCCGTCCGTCGGGGGTGAGTGTGCCCTTGGCACGGACGTCCTTGAGGACAGGCAGGAGGAGTTCCAGTGCTTGGCCGCTGCTTCACCTCATCTCGTGTCCGTACTGCTTACCCCTGAGGGAGACCCAGATGCACTTGACATCCCGACTCCGCGCTCTTACGCGGAGGCGATAGAGGGTCCCTACTCCTCTCAGTGGCAGGCAGCTATGGACGCAGAGATGGCTTCCTGGAAGTCCACAGGCACCTACGTTGACGCTGTTCCCCCTCCTGGGGCGAACATCGTCAGTGGCATGTGGATTTTCAGGGTGAAGCGACCGCCGGGTTCTCCGCCTGTCTTCAAGGCGCGTTACGTGGCTCGTGGCTTCAGTCAGAGGCAGGGAGTTGACTACTTTCAGACCTTCTCTCCCACCCCGAAGATGACCACTCTTCGGGTACTGCTGCACGTAGCTGCTCACCGTGACTACGAGCTACACTCTCTTGAATTCAGCACTGCTTTCTTGCAGGGCAGTCTGCACGAGGAGATCTGGCTGCGTCGCCCACCTGGCTTCACTGGGTCTTTTCCTCCTGGCACCCCCTAAACCTACGGCGGCCAGTCTACGGTCTCCGCCAGGCACCGCGTGAGTGGCACGACACACTGAGGACTACACTTGCGGCTCTTGGGTTTGCTCCCTCTACTGCCGACCCGTCGCTGTTTCTGCGCACCGACACTTCTTTGCCGCCGTTCTACATCCTCGTGTACGTCGACGACTTGGTCTTTGCCACAGCTGACACTGCAGGACTAGCCCACGTGAAGTCCGAGCTGCAGAAGAGACACACGTGCACTGACCTGGGTGAACTGCGCAGCTACCTTGGCTTGCAGATCACTCGGGACAGAGCACGCCGCACCATTACCCTGACTCAGTCACACATGGTGCAGCAGGTCCTTCAGCGCTTCGGCTTCACGTACTCCTCGCCTCAGGCCACTCCTCTGCCTACTCGCCACTCGCTCTCAGCTCTGCCTTCGGATGAGTCCGTAGAGTCGAGTGGCCCGTACCCAGAGCTTGTTGGCTGCCTCATGTATCTGATGACCTGCACACGACCTGACCTTGCATACCCTCTTAGCATTCTTGCACGCTATGTTGCTCCTGGGAGACACAGACCGGAGCACATGGCTGTAGCGAAGAGGGTGTTGCGCTACTTGTGCAGTACGTCGGGCATGGGGCTTGTGCTTGGAGGGCAGAGTCCAGTGGTCCTCACTGGGCACGCAGACGCTTCTTGGGCTGACGACCAGGCTACGCAGCGGTCGTCACAGGGTTACACCTTCAGCCTTGGTTCCGGCTCTGTTTCGTGGCGGGCTACCCGCTCGTCTTCTGTTCTCGGCTCCAGTTGTGAGGCTGAGATCTACGCCGGGGCCATGGCTGCATAGGAGCTTCGCTGGCTCACCTACCTGCTGACTGACCTCGGAGAGTTGCCTCGTTCTCCTCCAGTGCTGTACGTAGACAACAAGGCCATGCTGGCCTTGTGTCGGGAGCAGCGACTGGAGCACAGAACGAAGCACATTGCTCTCCGCTACTTTCTTGCTCGTGAGCTGCAGCAGCGTGGTCAGCTGCGTCTTGCGTACGTGGCCTCTGAGGCCAACACTGCTGATATCTTCACCAAGGCGCTTGCGCCTTGTGACCATCAGCGCTTCTGTACTCAGCTGGGCCTTGTGCCTACCTTGCCTCACTTGCTCACCTCTTGACCTTGCTTGTACTGTTACATATATATATACCTGCTCTTGCTTGTCTAGCCTTTTTTATATATATGTACTCCTGCATGTGAACTGGCCTTGTGGCCTTGAACTTGTGCTCGGAATGTGTGGTGACTTTGTGATCCACCCTGAGCTTGCTTTGCTTTGCTTTGCTTGACTGGTCTTGTGACCCCTTGTTCTCCCCCACTTTGCCTATGGGGGTGTGTCAGAACATTATAGCTCATGCATATTGTGTAGGCTATAGTGGGGTAGTCCATAAGGGGTACAACCCAATTAGGGTTAGTACTGGACAGCGTCGTACCCAGCGGCGTGGTCAAGGCTGCCACATCGGTGATTGTGTCGGCGACGGCAGCAGCGCCGACCAAAGCGGGTACTGCCCAGGGGACCGTGTCGCTGCCGAACCCGCTGTCGCGGTATGGGGATGCTGGCCCGCCCCGGCCTGCTCGACATGCTGTCCGACCAGCGCTGCTGGGCGCAAGAGCTTGTCGACCAGGAACGCCGTGACGCCACCCGGTCGCGCGTCTTGTGCAGTCGCCGGACTCGTCGCGGTGTGGGGATGCTGGCCCGCCCCGGCCTGCTCAACATGCTGTCCGGCCACTGCTGCTGGGCGCAAGAGCTCATCGACCAGGAACGCCGTGACGCCACCCGGTCGCGCGGCTTGTGCAGTCGCCGTGCTCGTCGATGGGTGAAGATGCTGGCCCGCACCGGGCTGCCCGCCCTGCTGGCCGACCACCGTTGCGGGGCGCAGGAGGTCGTCGGCCAGCTGCGCTGTGACGCCGGTCGGTCGCGCAGTTGCCGTAGTTGTCGAGGGTTGAACATGCTGGCCCGCAACGGGCTCCCCGCGCGGCTGGCCGACCACCTTTGCGAGGTGCAGGAGCTCGTCGGCCATCTGTGCCGTGCCGCCGCTCGGTCGAGCGCCTTGTGCAGTCGCCGGACTGGCCTCAGGGTGTGGATGCTGGTCCGCCAATGGCTGCCGGCCCTGCTTCCCGACCACGGATGACCCTCCCAGGAAATCGTCGGCCAGATTCGCCTGGTCGCCGTTCGGTGGCGCGTCGTGTGCGCTCGGCAGATCGGTCGATGCCTGTGCCTGCTGGTCCCCCATGGGCTGCCCACCGGTCTTCCCGACCACCGAAGATGGATCCTGGAGCACGTTGTCGACCTGTCGAAAATCGGCGCTCGGTCGCGCGCCAAGTCCCTCTTTCAGCAAGTCGTTGACGCCGGGGACACGAACAAACGGAGCGGCAGGAGGTTCCACGGCCACACCGCGTTTCACTGCAGGTCCTCTGCTTTGCTTAGTGCCGCTGGTCTACTCGCCGGTCAGGGATTTTTCGTCGGCGACCCCTTTCCCCAACTGCCTTGGCGCCGGCCTATGCTCCTTGGCGGTTGCGCGACCGCCGTGCATCATCGACGCGAGAGCAGTTGGGAGGAGGCTAAACCCGACGGTACCAAGGCCCTGTTGGGTCGCGGAGGTGACCGCCTTCACCAGGTCGTCCCTAAGCTCTTGGACGTCTTTCGCAGTCACGGCAGCGGCGATCCCCTGCGCCTCGCTCTCCATGGCGGCCTTCACCTCAGCAGACACGACGGTTTTGATCTTCTCGCCCAGAGCATCTGCCACACCTCGCAGCAGCAGGACGTCGTCTTCCCGTCGCCTACCCTGTGCAGCAGAAGCCGTCAAGTGCAGGGCCTGTACGGTGGGCAGCCACTTCTCGTTCATGAATTCTAGGGTGGAGCCGCGATAGTTCACCGCCTCCTGCACGACCACCCTCATAGCGTCCACCGCCTTTTGGAGGCTCGTGAGAGGTCACGCGGTCGGCGACCGTCGTGAGCTTGTTCAGGGCCGAGGTGACCACGCCGAATAGCGTGTCCATCCGGGCCGTCTGGAACTCCAGCTTCTTCTCCGCCACCAGCTTCTCCTCCCTCAGCTTCTTGTTCTCCCTCTCCACCGCCTTCAGACGGTCAATGGCCGCCTTAGACGCCATCTTAGTCGTGGTCGATCCACCGCTGCCCCGCGCCTTCTTGCCCGTCTTGGGTCCGCTGCCACCGCTCTTATCCGCAACCTTCTCACCGGCGAACTGTACTGCCTCCTCTTCGCCGAGGACCATCACATCGTCGTCCTCACGCTCCTCGTCCTCCTCCTCCTCGTCCGAGCCACCGTCCTGCTCCCCGCCCCCCTCCTTGTCCTCCCTCTCGTGCTCCTCCTTGCCGCCATCTATGGGTCCGTGCCCGCCAGAGTGCGACCCCGCCGCAGCCTCCTCGGCCTCCCCACCCAGAGCGATGCCGGTTCCGACGCCACGACCCACGGTTGACGCCGCCTCCCATGTGTTCAGCGCGGCCTTCTCCATGTGGTGCACCAGCTCCAGTCGGAGCGCCTTCACGCCGACCAGCTTTGGGTTCTCGACGATGAGCGGATCGTAGCTGCGATGCACGTCGTCCAGATGGTCCAACGACCACGCGAACGAGTTGACCGCCAGCAACCCCATGCCGGCGACCTCCTGCCAGAGGATGTCGGGCAATTTCTGCATCAACATCCGAAGCAAAAGGCGACGACGATAAGGGTGAGTCGACGGCTCGACGACGATAGCCCAGGCGACAAGGCGACATCGATGTCGGAAACTCACATCACGGATGGGGGCGGCAAGACTCTCCAGACGTGCGGAGAGGACTTCGGCGGAAGGAGCCTTAGCCGTCCATTTCCTTCCCTCACGGTTTAACTCCGACTTCACAGCTTCGCCGAAAAACCTGCGCACGTACGACACGGAAAACAGCCATCAGACACGGCGGCATAATCGCCGTTAGGGAGCAGCGCGACCAGCCGGCGACGTTGTCCCACCTCAAAACGTTGGCCGCCTCCTCCTCGTGCAGCTTGGAGGAGGTCTTAGGGTCGAGGTGGCAGTAGAAGGTCCCGATCTGCTCCTTGTCGGGCAAAAGCAGGTCGCCATGGCGCACAACAAGCAGGACGCTGCAGTGCCTGCCAGGAAGAGGTCCGCCCCTGCACACACAAGAGGCATGACAAAGACATTCAGGGTTTTGTCCGGGAACAACAACCAACGCGGTCGGCGAGGATCAAACCTCATGGGCGCGGAACACTCACGCGGTGCACAAGGGGATGGCGAGGGCTTCAAAGTCGAAGGCCGTCCCGAAAATCAGATAGTTCGGCTTCGACGCCGACCTGGCGGCGCGAAGACTTGCAGCGCGGATCAGGGCCATCGTGCCGGCTTTTCCTAGGCGATCGAGCTCGTACCTGGGACAAGCAGGGGCGAAAAGGCGGGAACGAAACACTCGTGTGGTGAGCTACAATCCATGACGGGCGCCGGGGTATACAGCCGACAGCAAGACAAGCCGACTCGGACAAAAGGTTCGCACGACGGCGACGTCGCCGGCAGCAAGACCCACGTTGCCGACGTAGGGCCCACGTCCGACGACCAGCGAAGAGGTTAATAAGACGACGAAGCGCTACGACGAGCATCATGGCCGGACATCGTCGACCACGCGGGAAGCCGGCGAGCCCAACGTCGACATAGAAACGACGCCGACGTAAACGCGCTGAACCCTTTAGAACTAACTAGGAACTAGGGATGCGCGCTCACGCGAGGCCGAGGTCGAAGCAAGGTTCTGTGAACTCGGCCTTCTCGTCGCGAAGGACTTCGTAGTCCTTCATCTCAAGCGTCACTATGTAGCCACTGTTGCCCACAGGCACGTGGAGTGGGAATTCGGCCGCAACCAGTTCTATCCTACCGGTCACCATGCTAACACCGCGGTATCTCGGAAATAAAGGGGAGGAGCGCGGAGAGCTGACAGGGAGGCAGAGAAAATCGTAAAGCGAAGTTGGAAAGGAGAAATGACGGATGGAATCAGACCCCCCATCAAGAAATGGGCGTGGGCCGCCGGTCGCCCACTCTGCCGCTCGGGGACGAAGCAAGTCGTGGCCGAGGGCTCGCCTCCGGCTTCGGGGCCGTGCATGGGGGTGCGGGCCTGCCCTCAAGGAGGGTGTTCGAGGGGGGGGGGGGGGGGGGGGGGGGGGGTGGTTTGTGTGGGCCGTGCATGGGGGTGGTCGGGGTGGCGAGGGCGAGCCACGTGTCCCCTCCCGAGGGGCCAGCGATGTTGACGAGGGTGGGGTTGGGCCCTGTGAATTTCGCATCCAGCCCGCCTGCCCGGCGAGGGCAGCCCAAGAGGGTTACTAGGGCCTCGCGGGCAACGCGAAGCGAATGTCTGCCTCCGTGAAGGGGTTAATAGGCCCCTCGTCGCTCGCGCGCCAGTTCGCCACCCCTCGGTTGTAACGTGGGGTTCTGTAGGAATTCGGGGTGGGGAACTGGGGCGGGGGGCGTGGGCAGAGCCCCGCCCCACGCCAGCCTGGCGGGGGATTCACGCGAGGGAGTTGGCCGCCCTGACGCTCGGTCGACCGTCACCCCCTTGCGTCGGCCCAGGCAAAACGGGTGCGTCACCCCGAATTCCGTTGAGCGATTCATGGCGATGAGAGCATAAATAGCAGTGGGTGGTGCCCTCTTCACATCCATCTCAGTGCTCCCCCACCACCGAGAACTTCAGTCACAACGCACAATGGCTTCTGAAACGTCTGACGAACTTTCTTACCATAGTACTCGCTCTGCTACGGCTACATTTTGCGCATTGGCGGTAACTACGGCTCAGCAATTCGCATTACTGTCACAGCCGTCGTCGCCCGCTGCTTCTAGCGCCAGTGAGACCAGCCGTGCGAAAAGCGCCTCGCCGCACTCACGACCGCCTCCGACCACTCGCTTTCAACCAGAGACGCCGCGATCAGGAAAATCCACGTCTGCTCCTTACGACGCCAGCTGATCGTGCCGAAGCGCACTACCAGAGCCCTCGTCAACTGACCCCGCCGCAGGTCACGGGCTGTCACTACAGCAGCTACAGCATCTGGTCGCTCTCACCGTCGCTAATGACGGCCCGCGCGACACGAGTAGCGCTTCTGTCTTCCCGTACATGTCGTCGTCCGCCGGGCCTCGGGGTCGCAGAAATCGCTTGTCGCTGGACTCGGCTCAGCGTCGACTTGACTCATGGAATCGCGCGAGCAAGCTCGTGTTTGAAAACAACCACAAGGATTTCCGCGCACAGCGGCGGCTTAAGCGCAGCAAAAGCGAGCCCTTGATAACAAGATTGAAGGAAAACGACTTCTCGGAAAGCCGCCGAAGGCCAGCGCAACCGTTGGAACCCGTCGTTTCAGCACCGCGACCGCAATTCCGCCACTCGCCGCTCCGCCGCTCCCAGAGCGCGCACGCGCTAGGCGAGAAGGACACGGCCATGCTGCGGAACGCCGCCATGACTGCGCTCGTCTTGCGGCGAGGGGGAGCGGTCACTTTCAGACGGTCAGAAGGCCCAACGCCGTCATCATCGCTGGCAGCAGACTCAACGAACAGCCGTCACCGTCACGCGCGCGACAGCAGGCAGCAGATTTTTCCGGCTGCGAGCTCGGCCGTTCCTGTTCGTGCATGTGCGCAGCGGTGACCGCAGCGGCGAGCTCAGCGGTGACAAGCCGACTGCCCAGTCCGTTGTACCGAACCACACTGCCCGCGTCAGTCACGTCGCAACCATCGGCGAAGAGCCGCCAGCGGCCATGGAGTTCACCCTCAGTGAATGCTCGCGTGACGACGCAAGGAGTGACGAGCTACTATAACCACTTTCGCGTATGCAGAGCGCATCCGGCCGGGTACCATGCTGGCTCCGCTCGCACGTCTGTTGTGCCGATGTGTAATGAACACATGCACTCGAAACTACAGCTGCAGCGGGCGCTCCCAATGAGAGAAGGTGTTCACTTGGGCTGCTGAGCAGCGAATAGCGTCCCGGCGGGCACTGAGTGCTCAGCAAATGAGTTGCTGCTAAAGACCTCGCCCCTCACCACCTGTGAGAAGGCACGTCAACGAAATGGTGATTTCATGCCATGAATCCAGATTTCTCTTCGGGGCTTGAAACTGCTGATCTTGGGCCAATTTACAGTTTCGTCGGGTGAGTTCTGGGACTTCTGAGCTCGAGGCCAATTTACAGTTCCGTTCCGTGCAGGAATTTCAGCTCCGTGCCACCGACTCATTTTTTTTGCATTCCACTTACGTGGTGCATTGCGGTGTGGCTGATGGAAATTGGCGAACCGCGAAGGCTTCCAAGCCGCGTTCAATGCCAAATAGAACAGTTATTCTTAGTTTTTTTTACAAGGTGATTACACACTTTGGCCTTAACTTGGTTGAACATGCAAACAATAAAATTCTCTCGTATTCTTACCGTACAAGTACAATTGATTCTTATTGTACGGTAAGAATACGCTGACTACAAGTACAATCCAATCATTCCTACAATGGAACTCTTTGTCAGAATAACAGTGCAGGAATGATTGGATTAGCAAGAGTTGGGGTACAAGTACTAACCCTAGAAGTGCTGTACCCCATAAAGAGTGCCCTACTATAGCCTACAAGTGAGATTGTACTTTGACACACCCCCATAGGCTAAGTGGGGGACAACAAGACGATCACAAGACCAGTCAAGAAAGACAACAGAGCAAAGCCAAGCAAAGCTCAGGGTGGATCTCAAGGACACCACACAATCCGAGCACAAGCAAGCGGCTACAAGACCAATTCACATGCAGAGTTATAATAGCAAGGCAATACACTGATCACAACCTAGCAAGAGTAAACATGCAAGTATAAATATAGATATCAGGGTACAACAAGTGCATGATCAAGAGACAAGCATGTGAGTTAGAATGGGCAGAAGCCCAAGAGCAGTGCAAAAACGCAGAAGATCACCAGGCCCAAGGGCCTTGGTGAAGACATCAGCAGTGTTGGCCCGAGAGGCCACGTAAGATAGGCAAAGCTGACCACGCTGCTGCAGCTCCCGAGCAAGAAAGTAACGAAGAGCAATATGCTTCGTTCTGTGCTCCAGTCTCTGCTCCTAACACAAGGCAATCATGGCCTTGTTGTCAATGTACAGAACTGGAGGAGAACGAGGCCGCTCCCCCAAGTCGGTCAGCAGGTAGGTCAGCCAGCGTAGCTCCTGTGCAGGCATGGCCCCAGCGTAGATCTCGGCCTCACAGCTGGAACCAAGCACAGAAGAAGAACGAGTGGACCTCCACGAGACAGAACTAGAGCCAAGACTGAAGGTGTAACCCTGTGACGAACGCTGAGTCGCCTGGTCGTCGGCCCAAGAAGCGTCGGAGTGTCCTGTGAGTACCACTGAACCCTGTCCTCCAAGCACGAGCCCCATGTCCGATGTACTGCACAAGTAACGCAGTACCCTCTTCGCAGCATCAAAGTGCACCTTTCGGTGTCTACCGGGAGCCACGTAGCGAGCAAGGATGCTGAGAGGGTGCGCGAAGGCAGGTCGTGTGCACGTCATGAGGTACATGAGGCAACCCACAAGCTCTGGGTACGAACCACTCGGCTCTACGGACTCATCCGAAGGTGGAGCAGAGAGCGAGTGGCCGGTAGATAGAGGAGTGGCTGTGGCGAGGAGTACTGTACGCCGAAGCGCCGAAGGACCTAGTGCACCATGTGTGACTGTGTCAGCGTGATGGTGCGCCGTGCTCTGTCCCGGGTGATCTGCAAGCCAAGATAGCTACGCAGCTCACCCAGGTCAGTGCAGGTGTGTCTCTCCTGTAGCTCCGCCTTCACTAGGGCCAGCGCCTCAGTGTCAGCAGTAGCAAAAACCAAGTCGTCGACGTACACGAGAACGTAGAACGGCAGCAGAGAAGTGTCGGTGCGTAGAAACATCGACGGGTAAGCAGAGGAAGGAGCAAACCCAAGAGCCGCAAGTGTCGACCTCAGTGTGTCGTGCCACTCGCGGGGCGCCTGGCGGAGACCGTAGACTGGCCGTCGGAGGCTCCACCGGGTACCCTCAGGAAACGACCCAGTGAAGCCAGGTGGGCGGCGCAGCCAGATCTCCTCGTGAAGGCTGCCCTGCCAGAAAGTTGTGGAGAAGTCGAGGGAGTGCAGCTCGTAGTCATGCTGTGCTGCAACGTGCAGCAACACCCGAAGAGTAGTCATCTTCGGGGTGGGGGAGAAGGTCTGGAAGAAGTCGACCCCCTGTCGCTGACTGAAGCCTCGAGCAACGTAACACGCCTTGAAGGCAGGCGGAGAACCCGGCGGCCGCTTCACTATGAAAATCCACATGCCATCGACTATGTTCGCCCCAGGAGGAGGAACCTCGTCGACGTAGGTGCCTGTGGACTTTCAGGAAGCCAT